GAAATAACATTCATATGCTACAAAAGATGCACCATAGGCTTGCCCGTAGTGTAATACTCTACTAATCGAGTTCATTCAGTCTAAGATCAAGTAAGACTTTCATTGGTTGTAATGTAGGCTGCGGGTCGGGTAGGATACATTTGGATATGAGTGACTACACCTTCCTTAAGCACTTTAATACATATACTTTAACACACATCCCATACTTATGTCAAACCATAACTCCATCTTCACCTCAATATATATTAACTCTATATTTCTTTAAGCACAATTACATCAAGAGTCACCACTATCAAGGGATATTTTTCACAGCAATATAACTAATTTTTCGTTTCTTTCTTTTTTAATTCAAGTGACTCTTACTTTTTTAAAACAGTGCACCTTTCTCCTTATTTCATTAGTTCCACACCAAAGTCGAACCAACCACCCCACACTTTAACTTTTACAAAGTTCATAACAATTCAAGTGCTCATGAGAGGTGAAAAGGTTTAAATATATGGTCGATTAAAACAAAGGGGTACGACTTGTAATGTGGTTACTAAAGAAATAAGATTATAGGCTCAACGGGGTTAACTACGGTACATAACATTTAGGTGGGTAAACTTTATATATCTTCTTAACAAAGAAACGCTTATATCACTTCCTAGACTGAATAATACTACTATTTTACTTTGCAAATACACGAGGCAAGTTTTAGACATCAAATACAATGCATAGAATACATGCAAAACCTTACACATATATGGCACATAACTCACTCAGGATTGGTTTCATCGCGACATTCCAGTCAAAGCAGTTAAGCAAATTAGGAATCTACGATTTAAGGTACTTATGCGAGAGTCAAAATCCGAGCCTAAGGTCACAACCATAGTACTAACTATTCTCAAGGCATAACAAAGCTAAGAGATATTACTTTAATTCAATTCATGGCACAATGGTTCCTATTCCTAAAAACAAATAAAACTACCTACACCTGGTTCAAACAAAACCATTGGAAAAGAACCGCGGTACAAAGAAAAACCAAGGAGGAATTGCTACACTACCTAACAAAAGAAAATCTTTTTGTCTTTTTTCTTTTGACTTAAATCCTTCAAGAAAATTGTCTAATAGATCCATCGTCAGGAAAAGTCCAATCTTTTCTATTTCTGTTCTCTAAAAATAAAAATTCAATTAAACTAACATAATTAAAATAGCATAGAAAGTCACCTAGACAATCTCCTCACCCCACACTTAAAATTGTGCATTGTCCCCAATGCACATCATAACTAATAAGAGGGTAAAAGAGACTCCCTGGTAGGCCAAAGGCCGAAGCACTAGCAACTCATGGGGTACTCAGACTTCTCCCAGGCTTGGTCCTTCGTACGGGTAGCTCATACTTAGTTCCAACTATCTGGTTTGCTGTTGCATCCTTCCAATAGCTTTGCTTTTCATGCTCCTAGAAAAGCAAAAATCGACACTACAAAAATAATAAATAAAAAATAAAATAAAGCAGTAAAGCTGGGTTTTCTCCCAATAAGCGCTTAATTTAACGACACGAATCACTTTCTGCCTCCACTTTGAACTTATGAATTGGACCCCAAGTTTTGATTCTGCTCTATGATCATACTCCTGGGGTGGTGGAATGAATATAACTGGCCCAAGGAAACAATGTAGTATTCTGCACTTCTTGGCCTTTAGATGAGGTGTGTAATTCCGACTTTCTGGCAAGAAGAATTCCAGAATGTAGGCACCTTGTTCCTCATTCCTTGACTCCTCAAGTGGCCCGGATGACTCTATTTTCATATCATCATCTACGCACAATGTGGAAAAGTGCTTGGAGTAAGGACAAATGCGCTCAAACTGAAAATGCACAGTCTTATCCACATCCTTTTCATGGCAAAACCTAGAATCAATTAAAATTGTATCTGTAAGGTCCTCAGTTGACTCCAGTACCAATTCTTCAACATCGACATCATCAAATTCTAGTTGGTTGGTTTGGTCAAATTCTACTATCAACTCCTCCATTATAATGGCAATTTTTACAGCCCATTCATGCTCTTCTTGGCTATTATCCACAATATAAGCTTGTTTCACTTTACAAGGTTCACTTAGTTTATTAGCTTGATCCTCCAAATTGTGAATAGTTGCCTCTTGTCTTTGTATCTGCAGAAATTTCTCATCATATTGTTCCATGAGGCCCTTTAACATATCTTTGATCTCCTTCAGGTCAGCTTCCCAAGATTCTTTGTTCTTATTCACTTCACATGAAAATGTAGAACCGTCAAAGTAAGGGGTTGGGGGAGGATAAGACATATAAGCACAACCATGAAAGTGACCATCTTGACCACCATACATATCACACACATTCCACACATAAGATTGAGTTGGTGCATATAACTCGCTCTCAGAAATATTTTGATAATTTTGCCATGGGTGGTTTCCTCCACAATATGCATAAGGAGGATCAAAAGTAGAATTACCAACATCAAAACTGTCATAATTCCAAGATGCCATGTTTCTAAAATTAACAAGTAAAACAAAAATAAAAAAAATCAAATACAAAAAAATAAAATAAAAGTTCAAACTTGCAACCTAGCAATATGTACACCTACAGCAATAAGTGTTTCTTTATCAACCTAGCAATGTATTTCTTTGCAATATAAACACATACAACTAAACCGTTAGTTCCCCGGCAACGGCGCCAAAATTTGATCACGCCCAACTATGCCTTATAAAAAGGACTAAGCGGTCATTACAAATATAATCCGGTTTACAAGTCCGGAGTCGAATCCCACAGAGAACTAAGGCTTAGCTATAACTGTTCAATATTGCAAAGAAACACAAGTTTAAATAATTTCTACTTATAAAGATTTGATTTTTATTTCTACTAATTAACTAGCAAATATTATAAAGCAGTAAAATTATCAACTAACATGGATAAAATTCTAGACAAAACTAAGGAAGTCTAGAGTTATGATTTCCCCAATTGTCGGAATCTTTTCCGCTACGTTTCCTATAAATTTGCCTAAGTCTTCTCTACCGATCATGAGCACTCTAACTGTCGTAACTCTCTCCCGAGTAATTACCACAATTTACTAGACATATTCTCCCGAATTACGCTAGCTGGCATTAAGTACAGCTCACTCAGATCGCATCAAGGTTTCGTTATCCCTAATCTCACCTTTAAACCTCCGTATT